AATGCCTATGCTGTAGACATTGATAACCCAAGTCCTGAAATAATTATGGCTCGAAATGAATGGCTTTTTGAAACACTTTCATCTCTTGAAATCAACGAAATCGCAAACTACCACTTCTCAGAGTAAGTTAGCAAGATATTCATAACTTTCAAGAGCAGCTAAATAGAAGAGTTAAAAAGAAATGAATAAAATTCTGCCCTTTCAGACATCCTACTATTTTTTCACTGTGCGAATTTAGTACTTCCACATTCAAGTGATTTTTTTCGTCTTCTTGAACATCGCAGAATATTGCTTGAACGGGTTTCATTGCTATCTCGAGGATAGCCTGGCTGTGGCGCTCCCACATGGCGCTGTTATTAACTACCGGCTCGGAAAGCGCTGGGGGGAGGGTGAGTCCCGTCTCTACGCGCGCCGCGACGAGCATCACAACCACTCGGCCACAGCGCCCCAATTTCAGACATCAGCATTTTCGTATTAACACATTTTGTGACACAGAATAACATAATATTGATGCCATTCATATTGAGGTTCATGTTCACTCTGCTACCACATCACCACGGGCCCACCAAGCTCATCATCTCATCTCTACGGGATCGTGAAATCGGTACCAGTCATCTCTAAGAAGTTAATTCAATGGATTCCAAATGGGATAATTCCAGACCGATTATCTCCGGGAAGAACCGGCTTGACCATCACTCCATGACACTGATGACAAAAGAGAAATAGTTAGGCAGCAGACGCTGATACAAAAAGACTTCATGGACGATGGATGCTGGGAAACGAATCAATTTCAAAGTGTTAGAACCAACAAAGTAGGTAAGGATGATAGGTTAAAAGAATAAACGATAACGCTTCCGTCGTTGATCAATCCATGAGGGATGCGTCGTCATTCCCCTTCAATCTTCAGCTTCGTTTGAGGTGATTGGAAGTATAATTGTGGGCTTTAATGACTCGCCGTGGCCTACAGCTGTATCGAGTCAGTGTAAGTTGTCCTCCCAGCCGAGTTCGAGGCCAGTCCGGTACCAATTTACAGACGCCGGAGGGATGGACGGCTTGATGAGCCACGAACGCGAGATCGAACCATCTATCTTGTGTGCGATACAGAGCATCTCTAACCACTGCGTCACATGCGCTCTAAAGAAACTGAGTGAAATATCTATTACGAAATAATAGGCACGTCTCTCACTTGAAGTGACTGACTGGGCGAGGCTGCGTTGCGTATTCCCTCGTGGGCATGGGTCGGACAGGGACGAAAACGATTGCTTCGAATTAGTTCTGGGGAGCGACCTTATTTTTACAACTACCAGATTGATTCTACTTCCCAAATGCCCCAATTATTTTGAATATGGACAAATATACGTCAGTAGAATTCTACGCTCGATTCCTACAAAAAGTCGACAAGTAGACGTATATTTCGTTAACAAGAAATTTTATGAACTTTCTCGCCTTTGTTGATTATTTCCCATGCATTTAAGTTTTTGCTTTTACTAACGCTTAGAGCAGCCATTTGCGGTTATTTTGATTCATAACACTTATACGGTTCTTTGTGATTAAGAGGGAACAAATGAGAACACCGATCTCATTAGCTGGAGAGGAACTTTTCATAGACGTGTTAGTAACTATTCGACAGCTGAAGTTTCTCGTTACAGCTGCCCGTATCGGTTCCTTGGAAAACCTTTTTTGTGCAATGTTATTGACGAAGAAATTTCCTGCATCACAGATGCGCATATTCCTCGCCGGACAGAGCTTCTTCTGTGGACCTTAGTAGTCATTCGATAGCGCAATCGTTTCTGATTCAAAGGTGTGCTCATATCCTAAAGATACCGTTTCTCTGCAACTCATCAGTAAAATAATTTGAATCCACATCTGCGATCAAGGAGGTTTTTGAACAATTCACGTGTCTGCGGGTGAGGTCATCACGTGAACTGCTGACGCGATACTTCTCTACGCGTTCGTATGCCCGAAAAATCAATGATCATCGCGTAATCGAACGCGATCGCCTAACGTACAAGCACGTGAACGGGCCAAAGACCCCGCTGATCGCAGAATGGGAACTCAACTTATTTTACCTGCCGCGTTTCTGCAAGACGGTCTTTTCAGGATATAAGCACAGCGTTTGAATCACGAGCGATTACGCTATCGAATGATTACTAACAGCCCAAAAAAGAAAGCTGTGCCCAACGAGAAATATGCGCGTTTGCAACGCAAGAAATCTCACTCTGTAGCAACGTCAAAAAAGTCTTCTTAGATAAACCAGCGAAATGGAGCTGTGGCCTGAAGTCTCAGCTTTCGAATGATTACTAAGGTAACAGTTCTATGGAAAGTTCCTCTTCAGCGAATCAGATCGTTTTTAATTTGCGCCCTCATAGGCGAATGAAACCCTTATACATTCGCTTCAAGAAGGAATTGTCCTGAGATCAAAAACGACTGTTGATGCTACATGAGCATCGATAGGATTCAACTGCTGCTTGCAGGGAATGATACTCGTCCCGCACCAATAGTCATTTTTTCTCTCGGGACAACTTCATACCGAAACAAATGCACAAGTATTATATATCAAAGTAATCGCAAAAGTTGCTCTAAGCGACTGTAAAACAAAAATTCAAAGGGATGAAAAATAACAAAAAAAAACGGTAAAGTCTGGAAAATTTCCCGGCATCTCAATACAAGCGACAAGATAAGGTTGATGGAGTTTTCGCATTGCACGAGCCTAGCGCATAAAGGTGCTGAAGTAAGGGGCTAAATTCTAACACCGGAATATTCCTGCGAAAACCGTGCAAATAGAGAATCTGAGAGGAAAATTGCCCCGAGGAGAGCCCTCTACGAAACGTTACCGAAAACTTTTCTGAAGAACGACTCGGTAGGATTCAGTTGTGGGAAAATACAGCGGACAAACAGCATCATGAACGACAATGTGCAGAGCGACTAACAGTGATTGCTGCTTCGAGACATGCGGGGGAAAATTGTCCTAGTCGTAAAATAGAGTAGATGGTGTGTAATCACAGATAGGCGGCGCCGTGGCCGAATGGTTGTGATGCTGCGCCGCGGCGCGCGGGCTAAACCCAGCTAACAACACTCTCCGGGGGTCATCAACGAGTATCTTATAAAGTTCCACGGCCTGGCTATTCTCGATTTGGGAAGAGACGTGCTCAACCAGCTGTTCTACGATGTTCGAGAAGAAGACGAAGAAAAGCGAACTGAATGCTAGAAGTACTGGGGATCGACACAGTGAAGAACAAGCAATGCACAGTGAACACGGACCAATAAAGTGCCAAAAGTATTCACAGATTAAGGCCGGTTATTGTATTGCTTGTGGCGGTCCTCCGGCCGAAACTCGACTAATATCCCGGACGGAGATAGTCCATTAGTAACCTGGGGAGGCCTGTTCACATTTCTAGAGCATATACAGTTGCATCAGTGATTAAGTATGTCTGTATTTCTTGCTGCGAAGGTCGTATGCGGTCTTGCAACGAAAAGTCTACTGTAGCCGACGACTAGTCGGCCAGAGGAAGTGAATCGCTCCCACGCTGGTGTACACGCCCAGCGTGGGTCCGCGGAAGTCAACCGGTTCACCTGTTTCCTTGATCGCCCTAGTTACTAATTGCACGTCCTTTTTCATCGTTGTTATAGAACTCGATCTGAAATAGATCTCTCAAGAGTAGATCTGGGTCAGGGTAGCTCACTGGTTAGTGAGATAGTGCATCAGAAATCGGAGTAACAAGCACTGCTCTGGTTCGATTCTCTTCTCTAACACTCTCATAAAATCAATCAACTGAGCGTCTAGCAACCCCCAAGCTCGACTACCTTCAAGCTTACAAGAAATCGTCTCAACCGAATTCTACGACATTCATAAAGGGTACGGAATCTTCAAGGAACAGCCGAAGCACTATGTGAAATATTCGAAGAGCAAGTAGGTCAAAAATATATCCTTTCAAGAGTAGACATTTTCTTGCGAGCTTCCGTGGAGGCAACACGGATCTTTACATCAGCCTTTAGAACCAAAATCCTCGACAACTTTGAATGAGGTGGTGTGTTTGCACGTACTCACAAGATGTGTCTGTAAACCAATACACCTCCATTCTTTCTCTGGAAGGATATCACCTGTATCACCTGTTGTCTCGTTGATCGTCGAGTGACTCGAGCGGGTACCAGCGACACTCCTAATTTTCCCTATCGCGCCCAGTGGGTCCTCCTCGCTCTAGGGACTCGCTGAGCATCATATCTTTCTTCTATAGCTTTCGTGAAGAAATCGGACCATCGGGTCGGGGATCTTCCTGTAGAGCGCTTGATGTCCCGAGGAGTCCAGTCACTACATTTCAAATAGTGCAGAATTCGTTGACTTCATTCCACGGGGACGAAAGCAGCATCCCTAAGTTCCCTTGAACGAGACTTACTACACTGCTTTCGGCAGATAACATGCCATTACGTTTCAACTTTTAGTTCCTGTTTATTCTCTTTTTTTTCGGCAGGATGCGAAGTGAAATGCAACCACAGGGGTACTGAGGTACAGGCAATTTCCGGAGCCTCAATTGGGCTTCGAATTCGCGACAACCTTTTCCTGAGGCTCACGTATAACCCACCATCTGAAGGTGGTATCGTTTTCCAGTCTTGTTCTAACGTTGAGAGGATCAGAATCACTCGTTCAACGAAATTTGGTCTGAGGAGCATAAATCGTCACTGAACCCATCAGAACTGTATCTGAGATTCCAAGCTTCACACGTATCTCATCACCTTTCGCTAATCCCTTTCTGATCTACTACCGAGTCCTACATTGAAAGGAAATCTATAGACTTCGTCATTCATGAGGTCTAAATCATGGCAATGTCACAACGTCCTAGCATAACACTTTCCGTACCGATATGTATCAATGGGTATATTTGAAACATCATATCATCGCTAGAAGCGGTTAAATGAAAAGAGATTATCTGAGCCAAGCCATTGACTGATGGTCGCTGACAGATAGATGCGTTGTATTGTGGGAAGAGTGGTGAACAAAACGGGCGTCAGTAGCGCAACTGGTTGGAGCCCGCGCTTCCGGATAGAGTGAGATGTGGGTTCGAGTCCCGACTGATGCGAGAAGTTTCGCACACTCTATATCTATGGGTATATTTCCCTACGGAGTTGCTCTCTCAGTTCTCATCTGATTGAGTAATGAACTATTTGTTCCACAATGGCTTACATTTCAATGGACTTTGGCCTCTCCTGTGACTTTCTCCAATGCGAAGACTAACAACGAAGCCTAGATAGTTAAGGAGTGTCGCTCGTTATCCTAGCATATGTTGATTGAAAATGAGTCCAGACAGGCGAAATCTTGTATGTTGTGGAGTTGGTTCCGGGTGTTTGCGCTTACTAGTTTGTTTGACACGTTTCACACTTTTCTTCCCACTCTGCGGATCAGTACTCCAAGCATTCTACTTCGTTTATCGGTTGAGTCTTGAACGTCGTCAACGTGGAAGCCAAAGGTTCAAAGAGAATTTTGTCATTACCAGGGCAAAGCTGACGTGGCAGCTAACTCCCAACTTACAGCTCCATAATATTAGGTTGTAATTTTCGCATGGAATTCCTGAGTACAACGACTGTAAATGATTCAAGAGAGGTGCTAGCACCTCGATCTTCACCTGCTGCTAATGTTGTTGTAGAATGACGTAACTCTGGTCGTGAAGGTGTTGAAATCGGATGAATGATTCTATACAGCCAGGTAACGATGATGTCGTATATAGCTTTGATAATCTCTTTATCTCTACCAAGTTCGATACAGGGCTGGGATAGCGCAACGGTAGCGGTACCGCCTCCACCACTTACACTAATGGCTCGATATCTCGTCGGGCTCATCATTCCTCTATCTTCCGTAGTCGAGGGAGTTAATGGGTACTCTCATTGTCAAACATCTGAAATGGCGAGTTCGAATTACGACCGCTCATAGATTTCCTGAATGTTCGACTCTCAGGAAATCAAAACAGAACACTGTATGGTTCACCACTGGCGAGATAGCACGCACGCTTACAGCAATATATCCATTGAATAATGCCTCATCCTCCTCCCGTCAGTAAGTGCAGCCTTAGCTGTTTATCTCTGTTTCAAAATTTTCTTCATCACCTCCACGTAAAAATTTGCGAACTTCTACACCGAATTTACTGCTCATTTGCTAGTGGTGAGTGTAGTTCTGATCGACTGTAATGGAGAAAATTATGGTTTCATCTCAAAGCCGCCCCAACTTCATAAAAAAAAACGTTTCATTAATCGCAATCCCTCGGCCTAGTCGATGCACACACAGCACGTCCAAGGGCATCTCCGAGTCAAAAACAAGCTGTCCATTACTGCCTTATTCGTCGCATAGCCTTTCCACTGAAACCGAATGGGAGTCCTATTCGGGAAATCAAAAGATCTCAACGATTTAATATAGAAACCTATTAGCTATTTTTGGCCACACATCGTCCTTATCTGTCATACTGCATGCATGGAACAAGTGATATCTCATGATTTTATTCACAGCACTTTCCAGTGACAATTTTACACGAGACCAGTTCCCTTGCACAAATCGAAAAACAATAATTGTAAAATGTCTAGTATCCTCCACGGAGACGAAGTACAAGGTGAAGAGTGGATTCTTTCTGGATATTATAGTCAGACAATGTACGACCATCCTCAAGCTGCTTGCCTGTAAAAATAAACCGTTAGAACACCTATGAAACCTGACTTTAGAATGAAACTCTCCAACACCTACCGGCAAAAATTAGTCGTTGTTGGTCTGGTGGAATTCCTTCTTTATCCTGGATCTTGGCCTTCACATTCTCGATGGTGTCAGAGGCCTCGACCTCTAGAGTGATTGTTTTCCCTGTTAGAGTCTTTACAAAAATCTGCATGCCACCACGTAGGCGGAGCACCAAGTGCAGGGTGGACTCCTTTTGAATGTTATAATCAGACAGGGTTCGGCCATCTTCAAGCTGCTTGCCTGTAAAAATAAACACTCAATCTAGGACACACATAAAGCTTCGCAGAAAAATTTCCCAGCACCACCAACCGGCAAAAATTAGTCGTTGCTGATCTGGAGGAATTCCTTCCTTGTCTTGGATCTTAGCCTTCACGTTCTCGATGGTATCAGAGGCCTCGACCTCGAGGGTGATGGTCTTTCCTGTTAGAGTCTTCACGAAGATCTGCATACCACCGCGTAGACGGAGCACCAAGTGCAGGGTCGACTCCTTTTGAATGTTATAGTCAGAGAGAGTTCGGCCATCCTCGAGCTGTCTTTCCTAAACTTGTCTGTCACTCATTACGAGAACTCGTCGGACTAGACATAACAGCAACACAGATGCATGATATAGACATGACTCACCGGCGAAGATCAATCGTTGCTGATCTGGGGGATTCCTTCCTTGTCTTGGATCTTGGCTTTCACGTTCTCAATGGTATCAGAGGCCTCGACCTCGAGGGTGATAGTCTTTCCTGTTAGAGTCTTCACGAAGATTTGCATACCACCGCGGAGACGAAGCACCAAGTGCAGGGTCGACTCCTTTTGAATGTTATAGTCAGAGAGAGTTCGGCCATCCTCGAGCTGCTTTCCTAAACTTGTCATCACACATTACGAGAACGCGTCGAACTAGGCATAATGAAACGTCAGTATTTCCCCAACAAATCGTGACAATAAGCATGACTCACCTGCGAAGATCAATCGTTGCTGATCTGGAGGGATTCCTTCCTTGTCTTGGATCTTGGCCTTCACGTTCTCGATGGTGTCAGAGGCCTCGACCTCGAGAGTGATAGTCTTCCTGTTAGAGTCTTTCACGAAGATTTGCATACCACCGCGGAGACGGAGCACCAAGTGCAGGGTCGGACTCCTTTTGAATGTTATAGTCAGAAAGAGTTCGGCCATCCTCGAGCTGCTTTCCTGAACCGATATCATCACCATCACTCTACATGGCAAAGTAAACTTCAGTCAATGCCAACCAATAGAAGAACCGAAAAGTCACTGACCTGCGAAGATCAATCGTTGCTGATCTGGGGGAATTCCCTCCTTGTCTTGGATCTTGGCCTTCACATTCTCGATGGTGTCAGAGGCCTCGACCTCGAGAGTGATAGTCTTTCCTGTTAGAGTCTTTACGAAGATCTGCATACCACCGCGGAGACGGAGCACCAAGTGCAGGGTCGACTCCTTTTGAATGTTATAGTCAGAGAGAGTTCGGCCATCCTCGAGCTGCTTTCCTGAACCATATCATCACCATCACTCTACATGGCAAATAAATCTGTCAATGCAACCACCAGAAGGACCGAAAAGTCACCGACCTGCGAAGATCAATCGTTGCTGATCAGGAGGGATTCCTTCCTTGTCTTGGATCTTGGCCTTCACGTTCTCGATGGTATCCGATGCCTCGACCTCGAGGGTGATGGTCTTTCCTGTTAGAGTCTTCACAAAGATCTGCATACCACCGCGGAGACGGAGCACCAAGTGCAGGGTCGACTCCTTTTGAATGTTATAGTCAGAGAGAGTTCGGCCATCCTCGAGCTGCTTTCCTGAACCGATATCATCACCATCACTCTATGTGGCAAGTAAACGTTGGTCAATGCCACCACCAGAAGAACCGAAAAGTCACCGACCTGCGAAGATCAATCGTTGCTGATCTGGGGGAATTCCCTCCTTGTCTTGGATCTTAGCCTTCACGTTCTCGATTGTGTCCGAGGCCTCGACCTCGAGTGTAATTGTCTTACCAGTAAGGGTTTTCACGAAAATCTGCATAACGTTGTGATGTGCGCTGAAACAGGAAACACTCAAATGAACAACTGAAAATCACTCCACATAACAGCCGATGATAACACGAAATTGCACATTCGGTTTAGAAAATGAAACGAAACGACGAATGATTTGTGGGGGGAATCGAGCCGAAAAATGAGCACCAACCACTCGCTGCTGCCGTGCTAATGAAAATGACAAGAGATGTTGGTGGACGGCAGACCGGACATCGATCGATAAGCTCCGCCCACGATCGATGGGTGGCACGGGGGACGGTGGATGGGGCACCACGCGGTGTGGCCGATCGATTGGACAGTCCCTTGCTCGTGATCGTTCGTTCCTTGCCAACAACATCAGGAACAACGCTCGCCGTCGATCCATAGATAAGCGCTATGGAACGTAACAAGCATTGAAGCTAGAGTTTTGACGAAAAGATCTCAAAAGATGGCAAGGAGACTTGTCCCAAACGGATCGTTGATCTCAAGATCACGATTCAAACGTGGCCAATACTCGATAGAAATGCAGTGAACGTCGACGGAGATGGGTGAGAGGAAATCAATACCCATGCTATACACATGGAGCCAAGTGTTGGTGTTGATTCGGCTTCGAAAACGAGCCTGTTTGTATCGACACCGCAAGCTTTTCGCGATGAGTTGAAGAGAAGACAAAAAACGGAATAGACATGAAGATCATCATCGTGTTGATCCATGAACTACATTGCGAAACGAGGAAACGAGATGGATGGTTGAATCGAGCGCTCCACCAGGACGATGAATCGATGGGATCACGAGCAAGCAGGCGCCCTGCCGACCGACAAGCTGACACGAGTGAGAGTGGCGCATTCGACGCGCCCGCCTATGCTTTTATACCGACCTGCAGATGACGTCATTTTTGACTCGAATGTTCCGTTCGTCGTCGTGTCGTTGTCATGAGTCACAGATTCATCGACTGTCATTAGTAGTTAGCGATTTATATTAATAAATGGTGAGCGCGGGTGGCGCAGTGGTTAGACGTGGTCTGCGACACTCACATGGTCGATCAATCGATGTGTCGATGGTTCGATCCCACGCTTAGCTCTCACCAGGCTTTCCATCGCTCCCAAGTCGCTGAATTTGTACTCGACTTATCTCGGAGGATAGCAACACTAACATGATGCATCCGGGGGCCACCTGAGATCACTGTAAGGAGGGCCAACTTTCATTCGGTCACCTCGAACGATGCTTATTATTGAATTCTGACATGTCCTTAAAGATCTATCTATCAAAGCCGGATTATTATGTTATTTTTCACTTACGACCTTCTATTACATGTTGTAGGAGCGCCTGCGGCGCAGTGGTTAGTGGGTGGGTG